ACAATTTCGAACAATTTCAACTTTTTGTTTTCACTTTTATATGATTTTAAAATGTTGGCAAACTTAAAAAAAAAGCATGGCCGCCAAATTGAGAGAACGGTTCTACCTTGCTATGTTTTTATCATGGAGCATACCAAGGCGAATACATATAAGGTGGTATCCATTGAACAAATACAACAATTACTCGTATTTTGTTTTTACTTTTAGCGGGCCATTGCCAAATTTCAGCTATTCTTCCCCGAATGAAAAAGGGCGACAGAAAATGCAAACACTCTCACGTTTTCACTCACTCACTAACGAAATTCAAAATTTTGACAATCAAACGCTACACACAGCTGATAAAACAACACCACCTTATATAAATTCGCCTTGGAGCATACTTTGTATGGAAGAAAATGCAAAACATCGTCAACAAAATAATTGTCAAAAATCAACGGTATTTTGTAGACGTTTCAAACTTGCACTTTATTGTACTTAAATTTTTCTAAAAAAATTATTCGCTTAATTTGTATAAAATTTGAATATAGGATTTAAATGGTTTTTAGCATATAATACAAATGCTATAGTTTTATAAAAAATTAATGAATATTAAACAAACAAAAGCGTCAAAAGCGTTGTCTATTCAAATGACAAGGAGTGTATTTATGTATGTGTTTACATGTGCGTTATGTATAGGTATGCAGCAGATGTAAAAATCTTCATACATATGCACTCCTTGAGTGCCAACATAAATGCCACATTTACCATCGCCCACTTCTTTCTATTGTAGGCGTTAAGAACGTACAAAGTCCCATTGCAAATAAGAACAAACCAGTTTAGCAGATAAGTAATGAAGACGCGAATCAAGGGTCAATGCACCATCATAGGCAATGGGGATGTACTTTTTCTATCTAAATATTTCTTTAATGGAAAGCAATAAGTCAAAATAGTAGCTAGTTGAATAGAAATAGTTTAAATTAAAATGGTTAACTTATAAAAATTGATGGCATATCATTGCATTTGATGTATGTATGTATGTACTTGTATATACATATGTACATAGACTTTTCAAGAAAAAATCTGTACATAACACTGCGAGCAAACAATCGCCACGCCAGCATTCAATCGCACAGAAATCCATAGTATTTAGTGAAGCGGAAACTTTCAGGATCTACTTGTTGTGAGATAAAAACGTCTAGAGACCACTTTTCAATAGATACACGCGATATCCCAAAATATATTTAAGTTATTTTTAATGATAATGGTACAGCAAATTCATACGTTTTTTCGAATTTTCGTCATCGCAACAAACAAAATAACTCATCAATTATAACCTTAAAGCCCATATAACAAACACCAAGTGGAGGCCGAGCCTTGACATTCAGCCTGCTTGACTGCCAAAAGCATTTATTTAATCGTCGTCGGCGGACTGCCTGACTGACTAACTGGTGGCTGCTTGGCATCTACAGTGTATTTGTTTAGGATGCGCAAGCTTCCTTGCCAAACCGGTCTCAAAGCAGGAAAAAGACGAAGAATTCGCGAGAATTTTAAACATAAATGAAAAAAATAGAGAGCAGCGAATAAAATAAGGCATAATAAAGTGCAGAATACCAGCAAAACTCAAAACAAAATATAGCAGTGCCTTTTAAGTTACTTCATGTGTACACTTGTGGGTGTATGCCGCAGCGTATGTTTGCTTAACAATAAAAATGCAAAAACAAAAAGAAACAAAGAGCAAATAAGCGATAAAACCAGCGCAAATAAACACAAACAGTGTACCTACTCAAAGCTGAAGCGTATAAGCGCAGCTCTGTGGCAGTTCAGCTGCAAGTGCATCAAAAGCGTGAATGTGCGGTTTGTACGAGTATGCATTCGTGTTTTTTTTTTTGTGTGCGTGTGCGTGTGCATGTATTTCTTCTTTTCAAACATTTTGATTTTTCATTTTTTATTGTCTTCATCTACTACTTTTCAGCCTCAACAAGAATTGCCACATTTGCCACATTTTTTCTCTTCCTTACTATGTATTTATGTATTGTATATTTTTTCTTTCACTCAACCTTTGAAACATTTGCTTTGAGGAAAAACCAGTTTCGCGGTTGGTTGCACACAGCTTCCAATCAGCCAACGAATGCCTGAATTGCAACTAACTTGGCTTGCATTGTTGCTGTTGCGGTGTTGGTCGCTTGCAACAGCACAGCTAAGCGCAAACAATAGCCACCACATACATACATGCCATAAAAACTCGTTTAGAGCCACATTCTTGTTTTGATTATTTTCTCGTCTCTTCACTTCTTTCGCGTATTCTTTTCATTTTTCACTCGATTTTGTGCGTTTACAAAACTGTATTTGGCCGCGAAAGCAGGAAAATTTGTTAACCAGTTTTTAGGCGAATCAAAGTCAGAAGCGAAAGAGCCAAATATTTCTTCTTTATAAAATAGTTTGTATTGATAATTTCAAAGTTAAGGAATATAGCAATAAATTCTAATGGAAATACTAGGTAATAGTGGTACAATTTTTTTATGCTTTTATTTCTCAATATATTATAATGCTCACCTAGGACTTGCTTTTACTGTTAAATTTTTTTAATATTTGTAAGGAATGCGATCCTCTCCTTTGGATAAAATGTTGCTGTTGCTGAAAAATAACCTTTCTAATGAACATTAGACCATTTGTGGGCCAATACCAGTTTGATATCGAAGCAAAAAAAATGTGTCTACTTGTTAAACAATAATAGGGGTATTTATGTACATAACGTGATAACAAATTCATAACTTTAACACGTTTATCGGCAGTTTGTAACGTTAAATGAATATCCCTGATAAAATAAATTATTATAAAATAAAACTTAACAGTTTGGAGTGAATGAACTCGTTTCACTTGAAAGATATAGCCTTAAATGAGGCCTTGAGTGCCAGAGTAGCCTAACTCACATTCAAAAAAATAAAAATTTTGACAGTTTAAAATATATTACTAGCCTCGAAGCGGTAATAGCAATCTAATATCAGAGTAGGTCCACTGAACCTTTCAGTAAAATACCGTATATATTACTTATAAGTGCTTAATTCTACTACTATAGCCGCTAGCTCCTCTGGCCGAATGTTGCAAGGAGCGGTGGGTTATGTACAAGGTAGCTTTATTAACCGACTTCAAAATGGGATGAGGTTATCAATTCGTCGGAATATTTATTTTTTATGTATGTTACCGCATAATTTTGAACCGATTTCGAATTTTTTTTTTGGAAAGGTGGTATCTCAAAGTTGGTCACATACTAATTGCCCTAAATTTGTATATGAGAATTGAAGTTGGTTGTGTTTTTTACTTAAAAATTACTTATTTTTCAAAAGCCTTTGCTGATATGTGTTCCGCATTGAAGACCCCCAAAAATGGTTGCGTGCAAGATTGCGCGCCGAAAAAGACAACCTCCTCACTCCAACTTACTTATGAAAAGTGCTGGTTTTGTTGTTGGTATTGTTTTAGGGACACTACTAAGCCCTACCTAAATCGGTTAGTCCACCAATCGTTGTCGTTACGCTGAACCAACGGTAGGCGCAGGAAAGGTACGTTTTCGACGAGGACGAACCAAAGAAAGAATGCTCTTAGCTGAGTGGATTTAAATGGACAGATGAAAAGGTGGCTGATGTCGTGGAACTAATATTCCCATGTCAGACATTTATTTATTGAAGTTATTCATAGGATGAAAGACTTTTAAGGGGATAAAGGACTCTCTGTGAATGCCGTTTATGGCTTGTTAATACGCCATCGGGTCCAGTGATTGAGTGACGTGAAGAACAAACGTTCTCAAAAAGAACAGAATGTAAAAGTATCGAAAACGTTTTCAAGAAAGATGAAATAAGAACAAACTCCTCGGGAACGTTCTGCTAGAGAACAAAACCAGAACAAAAGTTTTGAGAACTAAACGTTAAGAATGAGAGGGAAGTCTGCGTGTTGAGATGAAAAATCGTTTCAGAGAGAACCATGATTGTTAATTCTAAGATAGAGGAAATCTGGATCTATCAACTTCCAGATCGCGTATCATTAGGGTAAACTGTTCTTTTATGGAACAAGTTTTAATTTTCAGTGCAAGAAAGGTTCGTGTCATAAGTCTTTCGTTCACCTTATCGCATAATTATCTTTCAGTTCTTTTTTTTGTTCTCGCTTCCGTTCTTCGCGAATAGTTCAGATAAGATTTGTTCTCGTTTTGCTCTCTCTCCTTAGACTCTTCTTCCCATTTAGTTTCTTTGCCATAACGTTCTAGAGTCTTTTGGTCGCATTTTGTTCTCTTAGAAATGTTCCTGAAAGTATTGTTCGCATTTTGTACTCTTTGGGAACGTTCCACAGGGTTTTGCTCTAATATAACTCCCATTGAGAACGTTCTCAACTGTTCTTGTTCTCATTTTGGTTTTGGTTTTGGAGCATTCTTGGGAACAAAAATTCCGGAACGACATTTAGTTTGTATCATACCTTTTGTTCTCGTTCCCTGATACGAAGTACGCAAAATTTGTATCGCTAAAATTCTCCAAACGAAAAGCAGTGGGGCCTAAAAGTATACAACACGGAAGAGTAACATATTGAATGTGCAAACAGCCAAATCTGGCAGTATGGGGGTTCATGTAACTAGATATTGGGTGTTGTTAGGGGCGCCTGCTATTCTTTTGAAGATCTTTGGCAATCGAAATAAGCGATAGCAAATTTTAGAATCCGGTTGCTGGTGTCATATTGCAATCCAATGTTGCACATTTTTAGGCGCACCTCTTACTTATTTAGGCAATTTAAGCGATTTAGGTTTAGCTGGTGATTTCTATGCTCCTGTTGCTGATATGGAACACGTATAAATTTTCTCTTGGGTAATAAAAATGAACGAGTTTTGCTTATATGAATTATCAATTGAACTACATGGTGCAAATGATTTTCTCAACAGAAAAAGTACTAATATAACCGAAATATTTCATTTCGTTATTTTTTATGATAAATTTAATATAAGAACGCAAATAAAATTGCTCTCTCTTCTTTTTATTTTACAGTTTTGTTGACAAAAAACATTGCGGAAATACAAATATTGTACGGAAAATTCTTATTTTTAAATAATCGCTAAAGAAATGCATGCATGAAAATTCCGTTATTTTAGCTTAAAAATGCGGTGAGACATTGTAGCAGACATAAAAAAAAACAACAACAAACAACACGAAATAAAACGTAAGTTATAAGCGTGGCTGCACTGCATGCAATGCGCCATTTAAAGTAAACAAAATAAGAAAAACAGCGCCTAAAAATATGCAAAGCAAACAAATATAAATACATACATGCATACAGTATAAGCAGTAAAAATTCAACTAAAGTCAAACGACGAACAAATATCAAGGCATAAAAACTAAAAAAGTAAACAAACACCAACTCTTGCTGCCATTTAATGACAAACAACAACTGCATTCAACAATGAAAACAGCGAAGCATTTTGCCAGAAAACAACTACATACATAGGCGTACATTTAACATTCGTATAGCAACCAGCAGCAAAAATTAAAGCACGCAAATAATGTCTATGCAATCAAATATATAAATGTAAGTAAATTTGCATGCAGTCAAAAAATACGCCGCCAGCGTCAGCAACTAAAAAAAATAACGCAGCAGTGAGAGAGAAAAAATTGCTATAAAAAATAGCAGCTCGCACAACAGCAACAAGCAACAAAGTACTAGTGCCGTCAGTCACTTTGTCTACTGTCGCCATAACCACATATACATACATACTTACATATCTACACACACACACACACACACCGGAGCTTAAATCGGCTACTGTTCGCTTGCGCACAATTGAAGCTCGTCCATTAAAGGGGAAAGCAGTTTTTATGGTAAGTTTCACAGGCTTTTTATAACTCTTTTGAATTTATTTTATTTTATTTTTATACCTTTCATGAGCATGAAATGGTATTATAACTTTGGTCCGATGTTTGTAAGTACCAGAACAAAAAGAGATAGACCCATTAAAATGTATACTTATATGATCAGAACGTCGAGCTGAGTTGATTTAACCATGTCCGTCTGTCCGTCTGTCCGTCTGTCTGTCTGTTTGTATGCAATCTAGTCTCTCAGTTTTCGAGATATCCGGATCAAATTTGGTAGGTGGGTGTATTTTTATAATGTATTAATCATTTGTCGGAACCGGAAGAATCGGATCACTATAACATATAGCTCCCATACAACTGATTGTTCAGATATGAGATTTTTCGTTATAACTTCTCCATTTATGCAGCTACGAACATGAAATTTTGCAGTACTTGCACCCATTATCAACAGAATACTTACAGTGAAAATTACAAAGATCGGGTCACTATAACCTATAGCTCCCATACAACTGATTGTTCAGATATAAAATTTTGCGTTATAACTCCTCCATTTATATAGCTAGGAACATGAAATTCCGCACTGTTTTCAATAATTATCAACAGAAAACTTACAGTGAAAATTAAAAAGATCGGGTAACTATAACCTATAGCTCCCATACAACGGATTGTTCAGATATAAAATTTTGCGTTATAACTCCTCCATTTATATAGCTAGGAACATGAAATTCCGCACTGTTTTCAATAATTATCAACAGAAAACTTACAGTGAAAATTAAAAAGATCGGGTAACTATAACCTATAGCTCCCATACAACTGATTGTTCAGATATGAGATTTTTCGTTATAATTCATCCATTTATGTAGCTAGGACCATGAAATTTCGCGCTGTTTTCACTCATTATCAACAGAAGACTTACAGTGAAAATAACAAAG